CGACGACGACCGACCGACCGACCGGACGAACGAACGACGACGACGACGCGTCGGCGACGGACGACGGACGGACGGACGGACGGACGGGAGGAGGAGAAGAGAGAGAGAGAGAGAGAGAGAGAGAGAGGGAGCACCCTGGCCTGCCCACCGAGGCCCGCAGGGCCAACCCTCGAATCTGAATCCAACACGCCGGCCGTCGAAGCAGCCTCGCCCTCGGCGCCCGTTACCCCTGCCCCGCCTGCCCGCCTGCCCGCCTGCCCGCCTGCCCGCCCCCTGCCTGCCTGCCTGTCTCGCCCCATTGCGCTGCTGGCTGGCCGCCGTCTTTGTTCGCGTAGGCTGCCGCGGCCGTCCCGACCTACCTACCTTACCTTGGCTGCCTCCATCGTTGAGACATCCTGCCGCGGGCGCAGTGACCTCTCCATCTCTGCCTCGCCATCGCCGTCGCCGTCGCCGTCGCCATCATCATCACCATCGCCACCACCACCATCACGACCCGTTTCCCCCCCATCCTCCCCTGGACCGCCCTCGCGACCCTGTTCGTCGGCGCCCATCCTCCTCCTTCCGCACCCTCCATCCCTCCTCGTCTTCCTCTCCCTCCTCGTCCTCGTCCTCGTCCTCGACTCGCCAACCAGCGCGCCCGCCTGCTTTCGCCTCATCTGGATACGGACGCAGTCGACCACCACCGCCACCAGCACCACCACCACTACCGCCGCCTACCGACCTCGTCCTCTGACTGTCACGGCATCCCCCTCCGTCTCGGCACTCGACACTGCACACGCTCTCTCTGTCCCTCTCTCTCTCCGCGCCTTCCACCACCTTCTTTCGCTTTTTCAGCACCTACCTTCTTTTCCGCCCGCTCCTTTGTGTCCACGGTCTCGCCCGTCGCCGCCTGCAACCACCTTCACTTGCCGCCTGCAGCCGTCCCGTCTCGGAGATACCGTCACCGGAACCTCGACGTTTCGCCTCTTCAAAAGCATCCCGCGCCCGCCTGCTCGGAGCTCTGCCAGGTTGCCAGACCTGATCGGCCATCGCGCTTTCGACACCTTCTTGCTGCGGCCACACGCCCTCGCCCATCACCCATCAGCCGCCTTCTAAGCTCGGCTACAACGGCACAGCCAAGCCGTGTCAGAGTGTCGGCCCTCTGATCTCTCGCGCCGCTTCTCATCCTGCCGCTGTAACGCATCGCACCTCTCTGGCAGAGTCCTTGCGCCGCCTTGCCCACCCTCCTCGCCGCTGACTCGTAGCGGCACCGGAGCGATCTCCACCTACCCCATCCTTCCCAACCCCTTTCCATCGCCTGCCTTGCGCCGCCAAAGCGAGGCAGACGAATAGAGACGATGCTGACCCTGCGGCCCTCTTTGCGGCTGCTGCTGCTCGGCCTCACGGCGGCATGCGTCCTCAATGACAGCACTGGCGTCTCGGCCTCGGCCGCGCCAGACGGCCACGACAACGGCGCGGCAATGGTGCGCAGGCACCACGCCCGGAGGAACCGCCTCGACACGCGCCAGCCGGCTGCCGAGCTCGCAAAGCGCGGCGACGAACCCTCGAACCCGTACCAGGGCATCCTGGCTCAGATCCTAGGCGGCGGGTCCGCCTCGACTGAGCCTGACAACCAGGGCTACTACGACTCGTCGTCGTCGTCATCCTCGTCGTCTGATGGCTACAATGGCGACGGTCAGACGGGCGAGCCGGACTCTGAAGCGACCACGTCTCGCAACGGCACCCAATCCCACCGCCATACAAAGACCAGGACGGGCAGTCGCACCCACACCCGCACCCGCACTCGCACCCAGTCGCAGGCACCCCTATCGACGGGTGGCACCAAGTCTGACGGCTCGACGGGGCAGTCGGGGCAGACTGGGTCTGGCAGCGACGGCGACGGATCCTCGCAGTCGGACAGCCCCGGTCAGGGACCCTCGTTGAGCGCGGGCAACGGCACCACGCCGTCGGGCGACGATGGTGCCACCCCGACCTCGACCCAGCGGCCGCGGAAGCACCACAAGCACACCTCGAGCAGCGGCGGCGCCCCGTCTTCGCCGTACGACGACTCCAACATCGCTCCCGCCACTAGCAGCTATCCGACCACGTCGACGTCGAGCCGCGCGCCCGGACCCACCGCGCCGGCGACAAAGAGCCCGTACACGTCGTCCGATGACGGATCTTCGTCGGGCGACAACAGCAGCGGCGACAACGGCAGCGATCAGGCGCCCAGCACCAAGGACGACGGCAGCGACGGCCTGGGTCTCGGCCTCGGGCCCCTGCTCGGCCTCGGCGTCGGCAAGGGCTCGAAGGACGATGCACCTCCGACGGCGTCGAGCCCAAGCTACGACACGCCTTCGACCGACGACGGCTCCTCGGACTCGCAGTCGACGACGACCAAGCCGTCGTCGTCGTCGTCGTCCTCTTCCTCCTCCTCCTCGCCGAGCGACGAGGGTGGCAACGGCAACGCGGGCAACGACGACAACTCGGGTGGCACGTCTTCGCAGTCCTCCCCCTCGACCTCGGCACCCAGCCCGACAAAGGGCAAAGGCAAGAGCGGCGCGACTTCGTCCGACAGCAGCAACCAGGACGATGGCGACAACGACGGCTTCTACTCGTACACGCCCCACTCGACACCTAGCCCGACTCCTTCGAATAGCGATGGCGGCCTGCTCTCTGGCCTGCTCGGCGGCTCGAAGGGAGGCGCTGACGGTGGCTCTGACGGTGGCTCTGACGGTGGCTCTGACGGTGGCTTGGGCAGCCAGCCTGGTGCCTCCGGCGCCGAGACCAGCCCTGCGCCTGCCACCTCGCCGTCCCCGACCTCGAGCGGTCACCCTCGTCGCCCGAAGAAGTCGCAGCAGACTGGCGGTCAGACCGACCCCACATCGAGCCCTGCGGGTGAAGGCGGCGACGACAGTGGCAACGGCAACGACAACACGGACACCAGCGACGAGGGCAGCGGCGACGGCAACACCGACGGCAACGCCACGCAGACCGCCAGCAGCAGCGACGGCGACAACGGCGGACTGCTCGATGGCGTCCTCGATGGCCTGAAGCCCAGCCCGAGCTCGACTCACCACCATTCTGCCTCGCAGACTCCGTCGCCCACCGGCACGGGCAATGGCGGCAACAACGAGGGTCCCGGCGACGAGGGCAGCAACAACGGATACCCGTGGGGCGACAACGGCGACGACAACGACGGCACCCACAGCAGCAGCAGCAGCAGCAGCAGCAGTGGCGGCGGCGGCGCACGCCCGACCTCGGCGCCTAGCTCGACAGCCTGGCCCGCTCATCCCACGCCGACCGGCGCCCCGGACGATGGCACCGGCACTGGCAACGGCACGTCGACGGACGACGGCTCCGGCGTGCCTGGCCAGAACGGCACCCACACCGGCGACAGCAGCTCGGGAGCTGGCGGCGGCCACACCAGCAACGGAACCGAGACCCCCGACACACCCACCGGCACCGTCTCAGCTTCAGGCTCCGGCTCCGGCTCCAGCTCCACCGGTGTTCCCTCCAGCACGCGTACCAGCCCTCTGCCTAGGCCGACGTCCGATACGAACGACGGCTCCGAGACGGGCGGCGAAACGTCGTCGACATCGTGGTCGTCGACGTCCTCGGCGACTGGTTCGTCCGACGACAGCGAATGGCACACCCACACGTCGTCGAGCGCCGCGACGAAGTCGACCAGCGACCCCTACTGGTACGCCGACCGCCAGTCGCTGAGGATCGCGCCCACCACCTCTAGCAGCGCGCCTAGCAGCACCTCGACCGGATCCAGCGGCTCTTCGGGCGGCGACCACGGCCAGGGCGGCAACAGCGGCGGCGGCGGCGACGGCCACGATGACGGCTCCGACCATGGCCAGTCTGGCTCGGGCTCGGGCTCGGACTCAGGCGCCGGTGGTGCCGTGGCCAAGACCTACCCATCGACGATTGTCCCGTCCGACGGCGCCTTTACGCAGCCCGCGGACACGACCTCGATCGCCATCCTCTTTGACAGCGCCATGCCCTGGACCTGGGTGGTCAACCAGGCCGACCTGACGGCCCAGATCTTTGGCCTGATGCCCGGCCTCGTCTCGAGCGCGCTCGGCAGCGCCGACGACCACAAGGAGACCGATGCGGCGCCCGAGGTCACCACGGTCCGCCTGCAGCAGTTCAACGCCGACGGGTCGCGCGTCGCCGAGACGGCGCGCTCGCTCTACGTCGCCTACATCCCCACGGCCTTTGTCGATGAGCTGCAGAGCCAGATTGCCAACCGCTCGTCTCCCTTCTACGCCGATGCGCCCGAGGGCGCGGCCAAGCAGCTGGCGCAGCAGGTCGACTCGACGTTCAACATCCTCACGGCCGCCGGCATCTCCAAGGCGGCCAACACGTCGACGGCGCAGAGCTCCACCTCGAGCGAGACGGTGACGCTGCGCCAGAGCCTGATCGGCGTCGGTTGCAGCCTGGGCGGCGTCGGCGTCCTGGCCGCCGGATACCTGGTGTGGAAGCGCAAGCAGAGGCGCTCGCACAACCAAGGCCGGCCCAGGACGATCCACTCGTTTGGCGGCGACGGCATCGGCCCCGGACCCGGCGGCGCGGCGGGCCTGCGCGAGACGTGGGCCCCCACCACGACGCAGCACCTCGACCGCAGTGCGGCGGCGGCAGCC